TTAATGGATAATACATCCACAATAGACAAATCCACTGATATATATAAAGGCATAAAGTCTTAATATTTTTTTTTAAAGAGAGAGTGAGAGAGGAGAAAGAGAGAGAGAGAGAGAGAGAGAGAGAGAGAGAGAGAGAGAATTTTTAATATTTAATTTTTAGTTCTCGGCGGACACAACATCTTTGTTGGTATGTGGTGCTGAGGATCGAACCTGGGCCACACGTATGCCAGGCGAGCGTGCTACTGCCTGAGCCACATTCCCAGCCCAAAGTCTTAATATTTTAAAAAACTCAATATGGAGGAAATTTATAATATATGTACACACACACTTGGTATTGAACCTAGAGGTGCTCTGCCACGGAGGTACATCCCCAGCTCGTTTTATATGTATATTTTTAAAAAATTTGAGATAGGGTCTAAGTTGTCAAGGTTGGCCCCAATTTTCCTGCCTTAGCCTCCCAAGTTGCTGGGATTGCAGGCATGTATCATCTCACCTGTCTGCCATATAAATCCTAAGCACACTAAGATCAAGAATCATGAGCTAAACTCAGGAAGAACCAAAGGAAGTCTATATGCAGCTGTTTGGACATTCAGATTATTCTACTTTTAAGAAAAGTATTTTTGTTATCTATAAATTTCCTCCATACTGAATTTTTTAAAATATTAAGATTTTATGCATATATATATATAAATGGATTTGTCTATTGTGGATCTATTATACAATAACAAACAGTCTCATTTTAAGAATTGGGTTATAAGATTGGCACTTATATTAAATGTATGTACAATATGACTTTATATAATGTTCTCTGGATTTGGGTCAGTGAGGCATAATATCTTTAAAATCCAGGGACTGTCAGGCTTTGCTAATTATTTGCCATAATTATTTGTTAAAATTGTGGGGCTCTTCTAATGCATGACACCTATCTTCTGAGAAATGACATCTATGAGTGTGGGCCCTTGGGAACATATTCATGTTATCTCACCCATTGCCCCCCACTGTTTAGAGACAGAGGAGAAATAAATAAAGCACACTTGATCAATTAATAAAATTCTTCGAACCAAAATTTAGGAATTGGGCCTCAACAAAACTAGTCATTCTCTAATGCTCCCTTGGAGCAAGGAGATAAATTTTAGAGGGCTGGGGATGTGGCTCAAGTGATAACGTGCTTGCCTGGCATGCGTGGGGCGCTGGGTTTGATCCTCAGCACCACATAAAAATAAAATAAAAATAAAGATGTTGTGTCCACCGAAAACTGAAAATTAAATATTAAAAAATTCCCTCTCTCTCTTCTCTCTTCTCTCTCTCTTTAAAAAATAAAAGTTTTAGAGCTAAGGTGTCATTTTAGGCTAACACTTAGGAATGTGTGAAAAGAAACTGAAAGAGCTGGTTTGGTGAAAAGAAAGGTTAAAGCAAGATGTTCAGGAATATGCAGAAGAAAGAGACAGAGAGTGTCAGGAAAAATGAATGCATGAGGAAAGACAYGGAGGAAAAAATAGGATAAGAGAGAAGAGGAAGGCAGAAGAGGGAGGAGATAAAACTAGGTTACTGGTTGCTAACTCCTGTTGCAACTTAAAAGTACCATGTAGATTTGGTTTCTATGTCATTTTAAGTTATGTGTGTGTTTCTTAAACTAAATCAATTAAATCCTTTCTACTCCCATTATTCTTTGTATTTCCTAAAGCATCACAAAGGCATGAGCCATTTAGATATAGAAATACTAATTTCAGTTCTCAACACTTGTATTTACTTGAATCATGGGTGGAAGACTAGAAAAGATCTTGAAAAGTCATCTTGCACGTTTCCTTACTTCTAATTAACACTGCATCTTGAACATTTCAGATATTTTGATGCCATTTTTAGTAAAATCCTAGTACTGGAATTCTGTTTTGCTTCTCAGTTATTCATTTTCAGTGTAAAAATGTCCTCACAACTAGGATGTATTGCCTTCTATGGAACATAAATAATTCTGATTGCAATGACTCATGTTTCCCAAGCCGAGCCAACCAGGGGGTAAAATCCGTTCACAAAAGAGTAATAAAATAGTATTTCTCCACATCTGTTCCCACAATATTAGGAATTCCAGCCTTACTCAAAACTCCATCAAATAGTTTTGAGAATCCTCAGGAAATTTCTTCTTTGTGTTCCGTGAATTGGTTCTTTCAGCTTTGAAGCAGCATTTGTTGTTTTTTTTCTTTCTTCTGAAATCTGGTTTCCTATAGCAATGACTCGTCAAGGCTGAGTAAGTATACCCCTCCCTGCCCAACCAGAGTCGCCTCTGAAAACTGAGGCTCAAGTCCTGTGATTCCTCCTAAAACTTTAAATGTCTCTCAAACATTTCAGTGAAATATTACTTTCACTTTTTCCTTGCTCTTTTTTGGGTAGCATCTACTTCTTAAAGTTCAGGATTAGACCTTGAACTTGGCTCTGGATAGCCTGAATAATAGAGATGGTATTTTGAGTGACAGGCATAATTTTGAGTGATAGGTATGGTTCCCTCCCTCCCTCCCTCCCTCCCTTTCCCTTTCTTATTTCCTGCCTCTTTCCCTCCTTTTTCTCTCTCTTTCTTTCCCTTTCTCTCCCTCCCTCTCTTTCTTCCTATTTCTTTCCCCCTTTCTTTCTTTCAGTTGAACAGGGTTGTTCTAACACTGAACTACCCCATCCTCAGTGCTCCTTTATTTTGAGACACGCTCTCGCTAGTTTGCTGAGACTGGCCTCAAACTTACATCCCTCCTGTCTCAGCCTCCTGAGTCCCTATGACTTCGTGTTTTTCTTTGAGCTTCTCCTTACCCTTGACAAAGCTCCCTTGCACTTGGACCATATTTTACCTTTTAGTTTTCTCTTCATTCAGTGAGTTCTTCCCCAGAAGCCTCCTTGCTCTGTATGTAAAGTCCTAATGGACTGCCTATCCTTCCTCAGACAAGCCCAGGAGGGCTGGATTTTTGAAATCAATATTTCTGGGCTCAAGGTGGAATCTGAGTTACACACATATACAAACAGTGTTGCCTGGTGTCTGAGGGCACTCAGGTACCTGTCCTTTATTAGGTACTGACTTCATGAAGATATTATCTTTTTTCACATTTGACCTGTAACCTCACCAAATCTGAAATCATGGTTTATACGAACAGTGCATTCTTTATAGTAATGCCAAAGAAGTAAACCCCTCCTGGTTTGGATGTCTGAGAACTCTCTCTCGGACGATTTCTATAACCAGATGTTTGTAGATGTTTTTGGCAGGCACCCATTAAAGTTCCTGATAAATGCTCAATATACATTGAATTCAGTATATATTGAATTGAGCCGAACATCTTGGCCTCAGTAACCGCAGACCTGATATCAGATGCTGCGAGTTGTTTGAAGTCTTAATACTTTTTCTTTGTATTGACCTTTCTGTTTGTAAAATAAATCTATTTTTTTTTCCTCTTAAGTCTTGTTTTCTACGTTTGTCTCTGTGGCTGTCATTTGAACAACCTCTCCATTCTCTGTATCRTCTTTCAACTATGAAACACAGATATTACAGCTGCATTCTGACTCTCAGATTAGTGCTGGGCTGAACCTTTTCGAGGCTTAACATTGACAGTTTGGATTTTAATTTTATGGCCACCTCAATTAGCATTTTTTTTAGAATTGGTGCATTATGTTTATACATAATAGTGAGATTTGTTGTTACATATTTGTACATGTACACAACCAGACAAAATAATTTTACCAATTTCATTCTCAATTGGAGGTTTCTTTGCTTGGTATTTCCCTTTATGAAGCATTTCATGCTCCAAACTTACTATGGGGATGCCCCTCCTTCTTTGTCTTGTGGCCCCACCTCTCTTCCTGCTAGTCTTTGAGGCTGTGCAATCACATGTCAAGTATAAGCAGAGAAGAGTTGGTGATAGCTCAAGAGCCCCAAAGAAGGAGTCCCTTTACCAGGAGGTGGTTCTTAAAGGTAGGTGAGGCCTTTTTAACCTCTCTTTTGCCATCTACCTKCCTCTGTGGATTCCCTTCCCTCATGTCTCTGTACTCCGTACACTCACAGAGAATCAGGACCTCCAGGTTCTGTGCTTGCTCAGAAGTGATCCAGGCTTTGAAAGGTTAAGGCTGGAGTCTGGGTGGATGGAGAGGATTATCAGCTATCCTATGGAGAGCCGAGCAAGGATTCCTCCTCTGTTGCCTTACATGCCACTTTCACATGATCTCTGGCCCTGACCACAGAAAAGGAAAAAAAAAAAAAAAAAAGTTTACAAAATAATTTAGAAAGTCCTTGTAAACGCTTGTGTTTTCATTTAGCAGCAAGAATCCAGGACAGCAACAGACCCTTGGCAGCAGCAGCCAACTGGGAATTGAGTGGAAAAAAAAAATAGGAATCATGGATGCTGGAACCGTCCAAATTTTTTGGTAAAGGGGGCAGTGGGGGGAAGGAATTAAATCTAATCTTTTTAAGGAGGGCTCAGCTCTGATCTCTTATGGTCAAAACACGAAGGAGCAGCTCCATGTATGTGACCCAACTGTCCTGGAAGCTTCAATTGGAAGAGACTCCAAACTTTTAAGTTCTGCTTACAGCTTCAACTCGAGTAAGAAAAATGAGGTGTGTGGGGGTCACAGGATGAGGACCAAGTCTTAGACGGAGGTGGAAGGCTTGGGGATGGATGCCGGTGGGGATAAGGCGGAAAGGAGCTACATCTTTAAGTCTGTCCTATGGTTATACATATTTTTTCTTCTATGAATGGGTTTTGCTGTAAATTATAGCTTTGCTGTGGTCCCTTGGGTCAAAAGAAATAGTCTCTAAACAGAAAACAGCTCTGATTGGTGACTTTCCTTCTTCCCTCCCCAACCCCCTTTCTAATTGAAACCAAATGTGCAATATATTGGATGCTGGGATCCCTGGCGCTTTCCCAGGAATCCTCAGAATGTGAGGTTTCTCTCAAAGGCATCTTGCATCAGCCTGTGGATGTATGCCTACCACTGGGCTCCTTCACGGGCAAAGTTGAAAAAGAAGCATTTCACAACAAATTCTTCTTTTGGGGTTGGGGAATCGCAGTGGATTATACCTCTGTTTTCTTCTTTCCAAAACTGTGCGCCCCCGGATGAAAGTAAGTTGTGTTTTGTTCATTTTTTTTTTCCCCTTCTTTTTCGAAAACGAAAGCTCCTAATACACTTCTGTTGATGTCTCAGGAAAATGTTTTAAAAGATTCAGGGGGAGTCTCAAGTGAGGCAAGAAAGTGTGGGGAGTGGGGCAGCACACAGCCTCAGAATGTCAGAGCCCATGTTTTTGGGTGTGTGGGGGGGTCCGGATTTGTGTTGTGCAGGGAGGATTAAAGAGTGTTAATAACCAAAGAAGKTCGAAGCAAAGTAAATGAATCCATGGCAGCTGCAAGATACAATAAACAGTGTGAGCAGAGTTGAAATTGTTGGCAGGCAAGACAGGCCGATTCCAGAGCTAGGTTCAGGAAAGAGAAAGCAAAGCAGAGGAGCTAGGTTTCTAGGCATTTAGAGGGCTGTTTGAGGGTCCTGAGATTTGGAGAGACRTAACCAAGCACTTTCTGTGTTACAAGGCAGTTGCTGATTTGATTGTGAGAAAGGCAGCTTTGGATGAGGGCTGGCTTCACCTGGAGACTTGGGGTGGCTGGGCTGGAGGCCGGCTGTTTGGTGGAATTTTCAGTCGGTTGACGATGAAATACAGCTTCCCAGACTTTTCTTGCTGGCTCTGGGTGTTTTCCCCTTTGTTATCCAATGACTTGAAGCTGTTTTCAGTTGGGACCTCTGAGTCCTGGCCAAGGTTTCAGAGTCCCATCCAAAGGGAAAGAGAGTTTTTCCGTGTGGCTCAAACTCTCAGGCCAGCCATTTGAGGCGAGAATTCACACTGCTTGAGCCAGTAGGGGGTTCAGCACCATTTTGCGGACTGTTTGCCTTCCGATCCTTTCCTTTCCTTGGAGGAACAAGAGACTTGAAAAAGGCCTTCGCCATCTCATTCGGTCCCTTCATTTCCCAGAGGTCATAAATGAGTGGAAAGGGGACTGACCCGTTCTGGGTCTCACAGCACAKTTTATAGTGGAGCTAAAAATTAAATTGAGGTTCTCACTATTACTAATGCAGTACTTGTTCCATTCTATACCTCAACTTCCATGTTCATCTTTAAGATTTATTCTGGCTGAGATATTAGAGGCAGTTTCATGAACAAGTTATCACAAGGATAGTTATAAGCAATACAGAGGATGTTAATGGTATCTGTGGTTTTTGTGTTTGTGTGTGGAAAAATAAGAGAAAGCTAACATTTGAGTACTTATTGTGTATGTACCAGTCCCCATACTGAGAGCTTAGTGTACATTATTTGAATCTTTGTAGTTATGTAAGGCATTATCTCTATCTTATAGATACGTATATTTATGSTAAGGGAAGTGAAATGAGTTGCTTAGAGGAAATGCAACTGAGGTGTTTGAAACTCAAGTACATCTAACTCTAAATCCTGTGCTCTGAATCACTGTTCCACTGATAACTGCCTTACCCTCCTCCACACTAGGGGTTGGTTATTTTTGGAGTCAAATTCCCTGTTTCATTCAGTGACTAGGAGGTAAATTTGTCAGGCTAGGGGAATGATTTGAATCCCCTCTTGGAGGTGACTTTTGCACTTGGATGCAAATTTATCTGCATGTCAGATGTGGGTTAATTTCTAGGCAGTTGGTATATACTTAACCTTTGTCATGTAAAGAGCCTGGGATTTAGAGTCAGAAGATTTAGGTTAAGTTCTGGCTCTACCTTTTACTACTTGGCAAAGTTGTTTCACCTTTTCTGCACTCTGGCTTCTCTATTTATTACCTGGGAACAATAATACCTTGCAATATTATTATTTTAAGAGACATCGGACATGAATGCATTGAGGGCTATAACGGCTTTCATGACTGATGACTTGAACACCAGAATGTAATGTGAAGGAGTCGGTGGTGATGCCAGTGGCAGGCGGGGGGTGGGGGGGGTGGGGGGGGTGGGGTGGGGTGGGGTGGGGGAGGAGAGGTGCATTTGGCCATGCGTGAGACTCTGAAATAGGTGCCCATCTGTTTTGAATGGAAACAATCACTCCTCCCTGGGAAATATTTCTGGGTTTTTCTCTCTGAAACTTTCCTCGGGTGCCAGGGTTTGTCTGTGATTCCTCACCCAAAGTAGAGGAGGATGAAGCACACTGGGCTTCTTTAAGCATCCCTTGGATCTGTTGTAGCTCTGAACAAGAAAGGTTTGGCCAGGACCAGTCTTTCATTTTCTTCTCCAGGGAGAAAGACATTTGAGAACCTTCATGTCTAGCTGAGATGCTAGACCTAGGTCCTTCTTGTTACTGGCAGTGGGCATCTCTCCTCATCCTTTACCTTCATCCCCTGGTGGTGGAGGGTCAGCATGCAGCAGAGGCCCTACCTCAGTTTCTGGTTAAAATCTGCTTTAAAACCTCAAAGATAAGGGAAATGGGGCAGAAGCTTTGTACATATTAGCTGGAATCTCATTTTGGCCTCTCATTTTGAATTTTACTTAGAATCCTTAACAGTCTTCATGTCCAAGTAGTGGAAGCATCAATAATACAATGGAGTCTCATCACCTACCTCTCATCTCAACCTCTCTGTTGAGGCCATGCCAATTTTCCATCACATGTAAGAAGTTTAGTTCAAATTTGGTTCAACTTTACCATGTGATGGCATTTTTAATAGATGATCTAATAAAATTAATCTGTCCCCACATATTAATGTCACATCATTTTAAATTAGCCTAAACTCTCAGACATTTTCCCCAAATTTCTTTACAAGATCAACCTTCAGGGACTTTATATCACCTACACCTCAAATATACAACCCAAACACATGTCTCACAGGCATCCAGAAAGCAAACATTCATCTAAACACGGACCTCCACTGACATGCTAATGTCTTGTGCCAGCTCACATAAAGCGTTACCTGTCCGCAACACGGGCGCACTGGAGTCTTTATACCTCCGACCATTTTTGAAACTGCAATATATGAATCAATCATCTCATTCCCAACAATGAATACTCAGTCCAGACATGTGTCCAACATCTCTGGGCAGAGCTTCATTGAATTCAGCAACCATTCTTTTCTTTTGGGGGTGGGTACCGGGGATTGAACTCAGGGGCACTTGACCACTGAGCAACATCCCCAGCCCTATTTTGAACTTTATTTAGAGACAAGGTCTCTAAGTTGCTCAGTGCCTTGCTTTTGCTGAGGCTGGCTCTGAATTTGTGATCCTCCTACCTCAGCCTCCCAAGCCGCTGGGATTACAGGTGTATGCCACAGTGCCTGGTGAATTCAGGAATTATTCTTAATGAAGACTGTTCACCAGTGTATTTGGAACACCAGATTGATCCTGAGGATTTTCAGACACATTAAATTAAAATATTTAAGGATGAGGAAAGGGAGTTGATACTTCAAAATGTTTTCCAGATTATAAAGTGAACCAGGAGGGTTAAGTACCTCTGCTGATGAATCTTCAAGTGTGTTACCTTTGGCAATTCAATTCTGTTCTATTTAATTTAATTTTGTTCAATGAGCATTTGTACATATTAGCTGGAATCTCATTTTGGCCTCTAAGCATGGAGGAAGGTCAGCTTTGGGCTAAATGAAGTATCACTGGATTGGAAGAGCATTTCAGAGACAAATAAATTCCTGAACACAGGTTTAGACTTACTCTGAAACACCTGGATTCTGCTGGGCACTGTATGTAACAGATTCACACACTCAGTTGTCCTGTGGCTTAGTGTTTTGTACCTAGAGAGACCTCAGAGAGAAATATATAAATTTGTACTGGAGATTGAACCCAGGGCTGCTTTAACACTGAGCTGTATCCCTAGAGTTTTTTTATTTTTTATTTTGAGATAGGGTCTCACTAGTTTGCGGAGACAGGCTTTGAACTTGAAATCCTACTTACTTAGCCTCCTGAGGCACTGGGATTACAGGTATGTACCATCATGCTCAGCACCCCAAAAAATCTTTGAGAAGTCCTTGGAGGTATTTCTCAGAGGTTACTGCTGCTTTGCCATGTGTGGGAGAGGGAGAGGGCATGGGATAAATAAAATTTCATGGGCCTAATTTAGTGCAAAGAACACAGTGAGGCTTTGGTCTCAGTACCATCATTTTCTAGATTTTTGTACCTGAGGAATTTTTTATCCTCACTGGGCCACAGTTTCCTCATCTGCCTCCCTTAGATTCAGATCAGATAATGTATATGAAATGGAAARCATTGTACCAAAAAAAAAAATGATAGATGGGATGCCCTTTGGACACATTTCACAGGAAGCTAATTCAGCAAGCTTTACTATAATGCAAGATTGTGTTTAGGATCTGAGTGGCTCAAGCCCACAATAAATTGAGATAGGAGATGGATTAAAAATTAGAGTAATGTAGTACTTTTGGAAATTTTTTTTCTTTTTAAACTTTGGATACTATGAATTTGGAAAACATAAAATAATAAAAACTGCAGTAAACTCTCAAGTCTAAGATAAATAGCTTCTCATTAATTTTTTTTCTCCAAGTGGTGTTGGTTTTTAAAAATGTCACAAGGTATGTTCTTTTTTTCATTTTTTTTTTTTAAATTTATTTGTTCTTTTTAGAGAAACATGACAGTAGAGTTTATTTTGAGATGTTATTCAAGGTATGTTCTTTACCTGTTATGAATTCCACAGCATCCTGAAACACTGTCATAATTTTGTCTTTGCTATATTAATCTATTCATTCTTCAGCATATAATTATTGGGTACTCTCTGCCAGGCATTGTTCTTGGTTTTAGTTATCAATAAGACTATTTATTTCTTCAAAATCTCATTACTTTAGTTCTGTGGGGATATAACAAGAATTTGGAGAAAAGTCCTTTGGGAAAAATTAGTATTCAGGGTTGGCTTAATAACATTTTGCTTTTTAAAATTTGCTGAGCTGTGATTTTAAAATATTTTGGAACTAGTTCTTGCATGGTGATTGTCAATGGAGCCAGATATGGTTCAAAAAAAATAAGATCCCAAATTTTGTATTTTAATTTTCATAATTTCTCTTTAAAATTAATAGACGTAGGAAACTTAAGTAGGATTAGAATAAAGCCCCAGAGA